TGGTTGATCCTTTCTGAGAAGAACTGGGAGGCACTAGAACAGGCAGTCCTACCAAGTAATATGTGTAATTTCTTTCCTAGGCAGGGATACTTAGGGAGCTTAATCTCTTCGATGGGGAAGAAGGTATTTTTCAAAATGAAAAAGATTCTCTACTTGGGCTAACTGGGAGCAAAAGGCTGAAAGAGCCACCCGCCAGCTGGAATGGTCATTCCAGGGCCCCCTGGGGGAGAACATTTGTCTCTTGATTCTGACAGCCGGAATTCCCCACTGGAAGTAGAACTAGCAAGCCCGGACCTCTCCTGAGAACCCCCAGGCTGGGAGATAGGACCCTCTGGGTCCCCCTGCCCCCTCTCTAGGCCTCTCCTTCGTCGACCTTGGGTGAGAGTCAGTGAGCTGGCACCAGTCATTGCTTCCCTGGCCCCACATGCCTCTCCTCCCCTCCTCCCCCCACCTCCCTCCTTGATTTTCTCATGTGCACCAGAATAGAGCCTGGCTGTTTTGTTCCCTGTCAACCGGACAAACTGTGCTCATTCTAGCCCCCAGGCTGTCCTGGCCCCACACAGAGGTGTGATGGGAAACTCAGGGCTGATTCTGCAAGTTATTATTGGAGAGTGACTCCCTGGAGGTGACCAGGGGCCTGGGGGGGGGGGGGGGGGGTTGGGGGGGGGGTACGGATCTCTTGGTCAAAGCTGCTTTTGTTCCAATTGGTCCCAGACACATTGTGTTGGTATCTTGATCCCTTTTTCTCGCTGGGACTGTACTTACTATATTAACTGAGTTCATAATGAAGTCAGGGGTGCCAAGGATGCACCTTCCAAAGATTTCTAAGCATTTCGAGCACCTGAATTGTTTTGTTGAAAGAGGCCTGTTCCAGGGTAAAGGAGGAAAATAAGGTTCACCAATTTTGTGGCTCTGAAATCAGAGGATCACTGGAAGGAACCCTTGTGGTCATGCAATCCAACTCCTTTATTTTATAGAGGAGGAAACTGAGGTCCAGGGAGGTTGTGACTTGCCCACGATCATAGAGTTACTAAGTGACAGGGTCAGAATTTCAACCCAAGTCTTCCCACTATAATTCCAGCCTAGAGCTAATGCATTCCATTGAGGAATGGGAGCAAGAGGAGCCATTCATCCTCGAAAGGGAAAAAACTCTCTGACTTCCCAGGGGCCCAGGCCTGAGGATCTCTAGGCCCCTGGTGCTGTCCTAGGCATCACCACCACCTCCAACACACACATACACACACACACACACACATATGTACACTACACACCAACCATAACCATCCCCCTATCCTTCACAGGCTGGAACCGAAGCCCAAGGGAGAAAGGAAGTCAAATGTTCAAGCCCCCAGGCCCTCCCTCACTACTGATGCTGTTATGGAAACCGGGCTGGTTGCTGGGAGCTCAGCACATGTGGTCAGTGGTGACTAGAGATTGTGGATGTGTGAAAAAGGGGGGCAGGGTGTGGAGGCAGTGAGCTGTTCCCATGACTATTTATTGGTAGTCACGCCAAATGTAGATGGTCAGCAAGGAAAGAAACTATTTATTGCTTTCGAGTTCCTGCTGGGGCTCCCTTCTGGCTGAACTAGAGAAAACAAGGCATTTGGGAAGAGGCTAAACAGCCCCTGCCCCTACTAAAGGAGTCCCTAAAGATCACCTCGCTCAAGTTCTTCTTGCTATCAGGCTCCCCAGGGGCGTGGCAGGGACCCCTTCAGGATCTCACAAATGTTTGCAAGACCACACAAACTCAAGTTGTAAAATAGTATACCAGACAATTGGTATGCTTCCATCAAATGCAGAAATCCTCTCTACATTCCTGAAAGGTCGTCATCCAATCTGCTTCAAAGTGGCCATTGACTTGGAGCTTACTACCTTTTGGAAGGGAAGCCTGTTTGTTTGTCTTTCTTTTTTCAATGTGGGAGTGAAAAGAGATTAGGGGTGGGGGTGGGGATAAGGATTGGGATAGGGTAGCAAAAAGAAAAAAAGAGAAAAGAGAAGAACAGAAAGAAAAATAAATGAAAAGAAAAAAGGGCCATTGAGGCACTTTTTTTTTTTTTTCAAAAAATGAGAAAAAGATGGAAGGAAAGCTAGAGGGGAGACCAGACAAACAGGACAGCTTTGAAAGCTACACAGGTTTATCTTACAATGTACTTTTTTTTTTAAAGCAAGCTCTATGGAATAGAGACTTTCAGTTTCATATGCAATCCTCTGATTCTGTACTATGTATATGCAAATGCATGCTTTATTTGTTGTTTGTTAGGTTCAGAAAAAAAACAAAATTTTAAAAAAAGAAAAACTTTGTCATAGAGTCATACATTTAGAGCCTTAGAGATCATCTGGTTCAAACCTCTTATTTTACAGATGAGGAGCCTTCCCTCTGAGATTACCTTTCTTGGACTGTGTATATATTTTATGGACACAGTTGTTTGCATGTTATCTCCCCATTTAGAATGTGAGCTCCCCGAGGGCAAAGGCTGTGCTAGCTCCTCACTTAGCACAGTGCCTGGCGTGTACTAAACTGTTAATAAATGCTTATTGACTAAGTGACTTACCCAAAGTGACACAACTAATAAAAGGCAGAACTGGGATTCAAACCCAGACCCCATAACTTAAAATCCAGTGCAGCAGTTAGAGTGCCAGGCCTGGAGTCAGGAAGGCTTGAATTCAAATGTGACCTCAGATACTTACTAACTGTGTGACCCTGGGCCAAGTCCCTTAACCCTTGTGTGCCTCAGTTTCCTCATCTGTAAAATGGGAATAATAATAGCATCTGCTTCTGAAGGTTGTTGTGAGGATCAAATGAGACAATAATGGTAAAGTGCTTACTTAGCACAGTGCCTGGCATATAGCATGCACTATAGAAATGTTAGCTGTTGTTATTATTACCATAATTGTTAGAAATTTCTTTATGTTAAGCCAAAACCTTCCTTCCTGTCCCTGTCTCCCCTCACCCCACCTTACCCCATGACCCTTCAGAATCAAGCAGATCAATTCCCTTTACATGTCTGAAACAACCCTTCAGATATTTGAAGACCCTTCTCCCTCTTTCACCCATGTCTTCTCTTCTCTTGGCTAAAGGTCCACAATTCTTACCACTGTTTCTTGAACGACTCCATCTCCAGTCCTGGTCCTCCCTGTTGGAGTCACCTAGGACCCACGGAGCTTGCTAAGTTCTTTCTTCAGCTGTAGTCCCCAGAACGAAGGATTTCAGCTGCAGTACGTGTAGCCCAAATCCTCACCTCTCACCGCCCCTCCCCCGGGCCCCTACCCCCACCCCAGGGCTGTTTGAAGCCCAGAGCAGACAGGCTCCCATGGCCTGGGCTCCAAATAAGAGCCCTCCCCTCCCCATGCTCCCTCAGGGGCTCTCCCAGGGGTGGCCCAGGTATGGAGGGGGGTCAGAAAGCTGAAGCAGGAAGTGGAAAACTGAAGAGAAGGTGTACTCGTGACCTGAGGAAATCCAGGCAAGTTTAGGAAGGGCAATTTCTATATCTTTTATTTTCCATCTTCTTCTTCCCTTCACTCTCTAGCCTTTTTGCTTCCCTGGGATCACCTCTTTCTTTTCATCTGTCTGGCCTGTTGACTTACATCCTGTGACTCTCCATTCCAAGCCTCTTCACCACCCCTACCCTTCACCCCACGAGTCTTTCTTCCCACTGACAGAGAAAGAAAGAACAGACACCATCTAGTCCGGAGAAAGACAAAAAACAATCACTCACATGCTCCCTTCAGGGGTTTTTTGGGGGACACTTCCCTATTATCCATAAAAATTCTGATTGTGTTGTTGAGAGGAAGCTAGGTATCATACAGTGGTTAAGATGCTGGACTTAAAATCAGAATGATCTGAGTTCAAAGCCAGCCTCAGGCACTGACTACTTGTGTGACCCTGGACCAGTCACCGAATCTTAAAGCCTCAATTTCCTCATTTGTAAAATGGGGATGACAATAACAATACCCACCTTACAAGTTTGTTGTGATTCTCAAAGGAGGTGTTTCACAAAACTTAAATTGATGTGTTAGCTATTCTGAGTAAGCTGTTGTTCCTCTCCTCTCTCTGCATTCCCTTTCTCTTCCCTCCCTGGCTCCTTTCATCATGGTATAGGAAGAAGGAATTGCATTGCTGCTGGAAGTCAAGAGACCCGAGTTGTGATCCAGACTCCGCCTCTAACCAGTTATGTGACCTTGGGTAAGCTAATTTTCCTGAGGACTTCAATTTCCTCCCCTATAAAATGATAGGGTTGGACTACAATTTCTACGGTCTGTTCCAATTCTAACATCCCAAGGTCCTCGAAGGTGGGGGGGGGCACCATTGTGGGAGTGGCATTGGCCCCATGATATCCTCTGTATTTGGAAGTGGTCTTCTGATTGGCAATGTATCCCATTATCAACTTTGGTTTTGTATTACCAGTCTGGTACAGGGTAGTTAAGGGACTGAGTAAATGCTTAGTGTTTGATCGATTGAGATTGGTTAGCTAGAAGTTTCATTGAGTTAGATGATAGAGATTCCCTTGCTAGTGGAATTTTCTAATTTTTTTCTATCAACTTCTTTAGGTCTTGATGTTTTTTATGGCGTCACAAGGACCTTGATAAAGTAGAGATATCCCTAGCAAGGGATATCTTGTCAGCTTAGAGTCTTATCAGCTAACACTTCAGTTAGATTATCACCCAGGGTAGAGTCAGGGCAATGATAGGATGACAGGGCAGGTGGGAGCAAGGCCATCAAAATTAAACTCTAGTCTTTCACAATATGGCTTGGGAGCAGGAGGAGGGGAAATCCAATAGATATGGTGGTCTGGGGTGTAGAAAATTCTAGCTGAAGTTCCTCCACTCCAACTAAGTAAGGGCTGGGGCAGGTTTGAGTTGGGCAATGGGAGGCATTATTAAGATAAGACATGTCACACCTGTCACAGGGAATAATGGCAGTCAAGGTCAGCAGTACGGTGCTGAGGAAATGTTTATCTAAAAAATATATACACCTATACAGTATATTTATGAAAACCCAGAGTCCAGCAGGTCAAATGTCCAAGCATGAGAAGGTCCCAAGTCCAGGCCTCTCAGTAGAGGAAGACAGCCAGGAGGTAGGTCAGCAGAGGGGCCAGAAGCGTGGGCCAGGCATGGGGCAATGGTATGCCCACTCCAGACGTAAAGACCTGGCGACCCCCTAGTTGCTGTGTGTTCCTGAAGTTGTCTGCCATGGATATCTTTTTGTCACTCTCCAGATTATAGTACAGCTTTTTGGAGAATTCCAAGATCTGTAAGGGACCAGGAATTCTGGTGACTTTACTATCCTTCTAATAGCCACTTAGGTTCCCTAGCTTCCTTTGAAGCCCAGCTCAAACATCCCCTTCTATGAAAAGCCCTTCCTAACCCATTCCCCAAGTTCAAGTGCCTGCCCCAGGTTATCCTGTATTTATCTGCTTGTTTGGTATATACGTGTATATCTGCACACGCATATTCTCTTTCACCAACAGAAAATGCAAGGTCCTTGAGGGAAGAGACTACTGCTTTTTTTGTATTTGTATTTCTTCAGCCTGGGAGAGTGCCTGGTTCAGAGTTGGTGTTTCATAAATGCTTGTTGATTGATCCCTCTTCAAACTTTAGTGCCCCAATCTCTTTGGCTAAGGTCTTTGTATCCATTTCTTGATGACCTCTTTGACCCTTCCCTGATTAAGATGGGTGGGAGAGATGAAAGTAAAAGTGATGGTCAACCTGGGGTGAGTTCTCCTTGTTCCTTCAGCTTTCCCCACTCAAATGGAATTCAACCCTTTCTCCTCTACCCGCCCCCACTCTTCCTATGTGTTACATGAATAATTTCCATTTATAGATAATAGCGACTACAAAGCGTCCCAGACATGACTCAGTGTGGACATAACTCAGCTTTTGAACATGGTTGGAAGAGGGGAGGTTTGGTAGGACAGTCAAGGTGCAGGGTCATATCACTGCTTCTCTTGTTGGGGACTGGCTGGAAATTGTTCACCTAACTAGAAAGGCCCTAAAGTGACCGTTTGGTGGCCAGCCTTCCATGCATGCTGAGCCTCTCTGAACTAGACTAGCCCTCAGATGACAGACACTCAAACTGAATCCAGCAGAGGCCAAGCGCTGTTAGCTATAAATCAGGGGCTTCTACTCACAGCTTGCTAAGGACCTTCTCAGCTCTAAATCCTACGGACTGTTTGAGTTCTCTAACTTCTATATGTTGCAGTTTCTTTGAAGGCAAGGACCGTGCTATGTCCCTGTGTATCCTTAAAGCATGTAACACGTGGCTGGACATAGAGTAGGTACACAATAAAAGTTAGTCAATTGACCAGCATGTTGATTCCATTCCTACCTCATTTAACCCCACAGCCCCCTTGGAGACCTAGTCTAAGTCTGAAGATCCCCAAATTATTACCTGATTCATATGGAGTAGGATAGGCTCATGAAACACAGTCCAGATGACCTTCTCATCGCAATTAGGAGTAGTGAGGGAGCCCCAGTATCGGTAGTAGTTTTTCAACTTATCAATTCGTGGTATGAGGTCAAAAAGGCTGAATTCTTTTAGGTGGGTATTATTGCCTAAGGGAGACAAAAGACCAAAGGACCTGTTAGCATGAGGTTTGGGAGAAGAGTTTCTGCTTCCCTCAGAATTATCCAAACCACATATACAAACACATTGCCCTGTGACCTTTTCCTTCCAGTCCCCAGGATTATTCTTTTAGTCTTACCCATCACATCTCTTCCTAAGGGCAATTCTCCTCTACCACAATCAAACTCTTGATGACTACAGATAGAGGAGCCCTATCCCCCAATCTCTGAGCCTCTGATTTCCAATACTCACCCTCAACCTTAACCTTTTACCTTAATCACAAATTATCAGAACCATTCTTCCCCAAAGCTCGCTTGACCAACCATTTTTTAGCAATTTAGGGACAGGATGGCTCAAACTTCAGGGTCCTGTTTCTTGGCTTCTCCCATCTTATTCTTTTGCTTCTATCCTCCCCCCCACACTTATCCTCCCCCAGGCTCCTCCCACCATCAATCCTTTTTCCACCCAGGTCCCTAGCTAGGGCACAGTAGGTGCTTGTCATGACTCACTCTGGTATTGGACTTTACTCAGGCTCTCCACCAGATTGGTGAAGCCGGTATTATTTCCATGTGAAGCCTGGAAAGAGAACCATCTTGTTCAGACAGAGAACTCAAACCCCTTGGATAGAGGGGGATGTTAAAAGGAAGGATGGGAGGAATCTTTGTGTTCAGTTTCCTAGGCCTCCCTTTTAGTTTCAGGGCACCCCTTGTTTGACTGAGTGAACGAGATGCAGCATGGTGTTCCGATTGATTAGCAGGAGCCCTAGGCTCCCTGTCCTCTGTCTTGGGCTTGACCCTTCTTCCCCCCATGCCTGTAGGACATGGAGAGGAGAGAGACAAACACACTTAGAGGGGGGACTGAGTGAGAGATCAAGAGAGTCTGAGGTGGGGCAGCTAGGTGGTGCAGTGGATAGAGCACCAGCCCTGGAGTCAGGAGGACCTGAGTTCAACTCCGGCCTCAGACCAAACACTTGACACTTAGTAGCTGTGTGACCCTGGGCAAGTCACTTAACCCTAACTGCCCAAAAAAAAAAAAGAAAAGAAAAAGCGAGAGAGACTGAGGGAGGAAAAGACAGAGAGTCTCTCTCCTCTTCCTCCACTGCTGCAATTCCTAGTCCTCTAGTGGTTGGAGGAGGAGAGTAGAAAAAGGGAAAGGCAGACTCTGACAGGTGGGTAAGGACAGTAAAAGGACAGAGAATGGAGAGGAGGTTCTAACCTTTATTAGGAATCCCAGCACAGCGATTTCATCATTGCCATTCCCAGCAAGTGCTTCTGACACATTTTTATACTTGTCCTTGATGTGGACAATGTGCAGCTGGGGCAAAAAACAGGAGAGAAAGGGGTTAGAATGGGCACCTCCTATGTCCTAGGTGTCCCCCAGAGCCCTTTCCTCAGGCCTTAGTGATGTCTGAGTTCTGGGCTGAGGACAACAGGATCACGGATTTAGAGGAAACTGATAAGGAGACGGGAGGGCCCGAGAGATGAAGTAAATTATGAAATAATAAGATCATCGATTTAGAGCGAGAAGGGACAGTAGAGGTCATCTAGCCACACTTCCTCATTTTGTTGTTGTTCATACTTCATTTTTGAAGAGGACCAATGTCATCCTGGGATGATGCTCACCCTCATTTTAGAAATGAGGAAACTGAGGAAACCTAGAGAAGTGAAATGACTTGCCCAAGGTCACATAGGTAGGATTTGAATCCAGCTCCTTTTACCCCAAATCTAGCATTCTTTCCACTGTGCCATGAATAAGGAGGTATAGAGAGATCAAGGCAGGGAGATGAAGGGGACCACAGAAACTTGTGTGGAGTGGGGTGAGAGAATTTTCATCATGGCCCCAAAGGGAAGATTTGAAAGGAAGTTGGGGCAGGAGCAGGTCTTTGATATCTGGGTCCTAATCCTTGCTCTGCTACTAATTAACCATGTGACTCTGGGCCAGTCATTTCCCCCCTCTGTGTCTCAATTGTTTTCATATATATAAAAGAAAGGGGATAGCCCTCTAAGATCGCTTCCAGCTTTCATGTTTTATCATTCTATGATCTAAGCAAATCCCAGAGACCCCAGGACCTACTCCAGGTTGGGAAGGCAACAAACAAAGGAATGGGATTGCAGCTCTCCAAACCTCAAAAGCACAAACCCCTCACCTCCATGGCACCGGACTGCCCATCGATAGTGTGTTCAGAGCCCTCGTCCAAAGCGTCTGACCAGTGCAGATGAAATGCAACTGCCTTGTAAGTTTCCTGCAAGCCCCCTCCAGAGATCTTGATTGAGTTCTCAAGCTTCACTTCCACTTGGGGGGACAAGAGTAGGTGAAAGAACAGGGTGAAGATCTGTGGGGTCCTCTGGTCTCCATTACTCTTGGTGCTTCCTGTACCACCGTAGAGTCATCATCCTGCCCAAATTCTCTGTCCCTGCCCAGAATCTTTCCTTGCATTTTTCCCCTTCACCTGAAGAATACGTATTTCTCATTTCCCAGATTCAGCGTGAAAAGCTCATTTTAATAACGCTGATGTGATAGAACCTCCCTGGCTCATCCTGCATCTGAACTCAGCAAAAGCTAAGAGCAGATCGTCATTCGTTTTTTCCTACCCACTTGTAAAACGCTTTACAAACAGGAGCTGCCAGAACATGGAGAGCATTCACCCTCTGAACGTAAGCCAGGTGGGAACAGAGCAAATAATAATGGAGTGGAGTGAGATGGAATAGAGCGGAGAAAGATGGAGTGGAGAGAAGTGGAATAAGAAAGAAAAGAATATGGTGCAATGGAATGGGACAAAACTGGATGGAGGAGAAATGGAGTAGAGTGAGATGGCGTGGAATCAAGAAAGATGGAGTAGAGTGTAATAAGAAGGGATACAATGTGGTGATGTGGACTTGAGCAAGTTGAAATGGAACAGAATAAGATAGAGGAGAACAGAGTTGTAAGGAGAAGAGTAGAGCAGGATACAGTGGAAGCTACCAGTTCCTTTTTTCTCCCTCGCTTTCCAGATAGTTCCCAGGTACTAAGAAATGCTGACCTTGTTGGAGGGGACAAAAGAGTAATGCAATTCCTCTAGCCCTTCCCCATAACACTGAGAAAAGACTAACCTGAGTGCCCATTGTTTTCAATGATCCGTGACTCCCTCTTGTCATAGTCAGTGAACTGGAAAGGGACTAGTGAAACGTTTAGCATGGTTTTGTCAGTGTTGATGTCAATTGGGGATTGCTGCTTGCCTTGGCAATACCCAGGCCAGTTGTCTGGACCTGAAGGATTAGAAAGGAGAGAAGGAAAGGTGGAGAAGGAGGGACTGGTGTCGGATCTCAGTTACAACAGAGGGGTTTTGGGTAGGGGAAGATTCCTTAGTGATGGGTGTATCTTGTGTGATCCTATCACTTACAAGGGCCAGTACTGTGGCTTTTCACTGGCTCACCTCCATGCCCCAAATGCACTTCTTCCTCATCCTTCTCTCATAGAATTCCATATTTCCTTCCAGATGTAGCTCAAGTACCACTTTCTACACAAGTCTTTCTAGATACCCCCATCTCCTGGTACCCTCCCTTCCTAAACTACCTTGAATTTATTTATACATGGTGCCTCAGAAGTCTAAGTGAATCTACAAGCTATAAGATTAACACTGCACTAAGATTTTTGGAAAACCCTATATACATACACATTGTCTCCTGACTGGAATGTAAGCTCCTTGGGGTCAGGGAACTGTTCAATTTTTTTCCCTTTGTATCCTCAGCACTAAATAGAGTTCCTGGCACCTAACTGATATTTAACATATGTTTACTGATTGATCAACTGATTAATGTAAAACTCAGGCCATAACAGCTGCCATAAAGATACTTGAGGGGATGTTATTTTCCTGTTGGATTAGTCTCCCAAGATTCCCGCCTACTGTTTCTCTTATAAAACAGAGTTTGCTGGACTTGTACCTGCTGGGCTACTGAGTGAGAAGAAAGAATGAGATCAAAGCATCATACAAAGCATATAGTTCACATCCTTCATTTTACAGAGGAGAAAAAGAAAGTCTGGAGAGGGAAAGCTATTGGTCCTCCACACAGCTAGAGGATAACCAAACTGGGATGAGGACTCAGGCTCCTGATTCCATCACCAGTGTACTAAACCACACTAAGTGGTGGCTGTGTACTTTGAGAAGTGGAGTGCATTATTCTCATTACATCCCTTCCATGAATGACAGTATTAATTACATTCTACTCTATCATCTTAACCCTCTTCAGATTTTAGAGCAGGGATCTCTGAGGGCTTGAGGGGTCTGTGTTTTGGGACTGGAGAGGGAACCAGGTTGTTCTGTAAGATGAGGCATTTGTGTAATGACATGACCAAGAGGCTTAGCCATGGAGAAGAATTCAGAAAATGTACCTCTCTTTACTCTTTGCATAGGTGGGGGACTACAGATGTAGAATACAGGATACATGGTCAGACTTGATGGATTTGTTTGTTGATTTTACTAAACTGTTTTTTCTTTCTTTTGGGGGTGGGGTCTTTGTTATAAAGGATGTTTCACTAAGCAGGTGCTGATACATTCAGAAATGAAAGTGATTTAAAAACAAGGTACCAATACATTTTATTTTTTCTAAAAGATGGGACTAGAAGATCCTAAAAATACTTTACAGATTTGACATTCTGTGAGTCTATAATTCTTCTTGACTTCCCTCTACCCCCACTCTTCCACTTCTCCCTAGGCCTGGCCCTAGCTATGCTTCTGACACTCACAACCAGAGTGGGGGTGGGAGTGAGGAAGGGAGGGAGGAAAAGTCCTCAGTGGAATACAGTCAACTCTCAATTAATTCTCTGTTTGAAACAGTGGAGAATCCTCAAACTGCTTTCTGCTTGGTTTTTATAGTTTTATCATTGAATATGTTTGCTATCTTGCACTTGCTCTGTTTTTATTTTAGTAGCTTTACCTCTTCTAAGAGAGAAAGGCCAGGCATTATTTGACTGATTCAGAAAAGCCTCCATTCTCTGAGAACCCCAATTGGTTGTAGGAGGAGTATGCTGAGAGGGATGGGGGAAAGGAGTCAGGGATTATTAGATATTGGTTGGAGGTGACCTGCAGAGAGCATCACCCACCCAAAGATTCAAGAAGTGATACTTTCCAAAATATGGTAGCTAGCATTTATATAACACTTGAAGATTTGCAAGGCACTTCACAAATATTATCTCATCTGGTTGTCACAACAACTCTGGGACATAGGTGCTACTATTAACACCTTCATTTGACAGAAGAGAAAATTGAGGCAGACAGAGGTGAAACGATTTGCTCAGTTGCTCTGACCCTGGCTAGCCATGTTGGATCATTGAAGGGTGGATGGGCTGCCTGGGTTGGGAGTGAGGGATGGATTCTGAAGTCCCCAACTTACCCGTACATGCTGTTGTCTGGCTTTGGGATTGATAGCACCAGTGAGCTGGCAAAGAGAAAGAGGACACAGCGTCAGTTAAAGGGAGTGAATGAGTACAGGCGGGTGGAGTGGACGTGGGGAGAAAGGGAAGTCTTCTATGATATTGAACTCTCATGGCTCTTCTATATCTCTAATTGCTGCTCTTTGATTCTTTTGCTGGCTCTCCGTCTTCCTCTCCTTCCTGAAGTGTGAATGTCCACCAAAGCTCTGTCCTTGACCTTCCTCCTTTCTCACTGTATTGTCTCCCTTTGTGATTGCAGTCATTCTCATAGCTTAAGTTATCTACAAACTCTATGCAAATGTTGCCCCAAATTCTGTCTCCTTAAGACTCCATTCCATAGCTCCAATTACCATCCTGGGCATTTCCAACTAGATCCCTACTGAAATCTCAAACTCATTTTATCCAGAACGAAACTTATCATTCCCTTCTCCAAACTTTCCCCTCCTCTAAACTTTCATTATTTTCTGTTGATAGCATCACCATTAGGTTAGCAACCTCGGAGGGATCTCTCCTCCTTCCTCTTCTCTTACAGCCCTGAGCCTCTTTCACAACCAGTCAGCCTTCAATTTCACCTATATAATGTCTCTACCCTCTAATTCTCACTCCTATCGCCATAGTCCAGCCCCTCAACTCTTCTTTCCCAGACTATTGTAATAGCCTCCTACTTGGTCTTTTTGACTCCCTGTTTTCAAATTCACCCTTCGTCCAGCTCATCTTCTTTGTCCACTGTCCTGATCACAAAAATTTTCTACTCAAAAGACTTTCTTCAGTTTCCTCTTATCATTTACACAACAAAACATACACTTCCAGTCCTGAGATTCTTGCTCTAATTTACCTCCCATTCTTATCTTGTACTCCTCACATACTCTACATTCAGAGAAAGTAGATTATCCTCCATCCCAGTTCTATTCCTGTCCTCTCCAGATTCTGTGCTTTTTGCTCACTCACATCATCTCATCGTCCCCTGTTCTTGAAATGTATCTCGTCATCCCTACTTTCCTCCTACCACCCTCACCATGGAAACTTCTCTTTCTTTGAGATCCAACTCAGGTAGCACCTCCTACTACAGAGTGTCTTTTCTGAACCCCTCCTTCCCCTCTTTGGTTGCAAACCCCTGGAGAATAGAATCTGTATCATAAGTTATCTTCGTATTGACAGTAATGTTAATTATTTAACATGTGTGGAATTGAAGTGGGAGTGGTAAAGAAGATAAGGGGCTGCCCTTTCCCTCTGAGATTAGGATAGGATTTGATCAGCTAGGAGGAGGATGGATGCATTGCCTAACTCTGGGAAGAATGCAGGTTGGGGTAAGATGTTGTGGGGGTAGAAACAGAGATTTCCAGTCTCTTGAGAACCCTCTTGCCCCAGTGCACTGATGGATAATATGCAAAGCTGCGTGGACAGACTTCTATGAATCAGTCCCCTGAGTTCTGTCCCTCAGCTCCCAGAGGCAAAGGAGGAAAGAGAAACAGAACAGACTCCAGATCATGTCCTATCATCTCTCCCTATCTCCCAGCCCATCCTAAATATATATATTTGCTGCATATTAAAGACCTTCAGATGATGTGAGCCTTTCACCCCACCCCCATCCACCAGCCAAGTCCCCTAGAATATTCAATTCTGTCTTTCTTTTTTTGCCAGTAGGCTTGTTCTGCTAAGGAGGATTAACTTTGCCGGGGGCCTCCCCGTTTCCTTAACAATCGGATTTGCTGGCTCAGCCCTGTGAGTTTATTTGAGATGTTGGAAAGTTAACACAAGTCCCTCGAGCTGCTCCCCCTTCCCCTCCCCATACCCCCTCCCATTGAGTTATTAAAGTAAATTCTTGGCCAAGCTCTCCTCTCTATGGTGCCAAGTCAACTCTCACCTCTTCCCCTCCCAGGGCCGCTGCTTCATTCTCTGAGCCCTCCCAGCTCTGTGTCTATGAACCTGTGGTTGGTCTTCTCTGACAGACCTACGTACATATGAATCATTGGGAGTGGGGAGAAAATAGGGTTGGTCCAGAAAGGAGGGGCTTCTATTAAAAAACTATCCTCTACCTCTTTTCTCAGGGCCTGGTCCTGACCTTTTTCCAGGTTCATGTCTCTCTCTGCCTCAGTAAGGGCTGGGAAGAGGGTGTTAGATACTCATGTGTCAAGGTCACGGGAAGATGGTTTCATGCAACACGACCTTGAGTCTGGGTTGGTGTCCCTATTGCAAAGTCAGGAGGACCATTTCTTCTGGAAACCAGAAGGGATGGAGGATGGGGAATGCATGGGACAGAGAAGGTCCTCTGGACCCCTAAGAACTATGCATCCCTCCAAGGCATCAGAAAGAGTGCCAAAGAGGAAGAGCCTTGACCCATGGAGGCGGTACATGATGGGCCAGACTACTTGGACACCAGTACTCCTGGCTTAGCCGGGGAAGGGAGAGGTTAACACAGTGGTGCAGACTGGAAGTCTCAATCTCACCCAGGTCATGGTGGTTGTAGAGGTGACAGTAAGGACAGTCATTCTCCACAAATCTGACTGAGCCTCTTCCCAGGAAACTGAGTAACAGGATTCAGATGTTTGGGGACTTCTCCTCAACTCCATGCCTGGAAAGGCACAGGGGTTGGCCGTGTGTTCTGTCATCCCTTGAGGATAGTACATTCTGGGAGGAAGCTATGACTCAGAGACTCTTTGGGGTTCCTTAATGCACATGTAGCACACTGCTGATGCCATAGCCCTTCTCCTGCCCTGGGGGTCTTTCTTCCCTTCTTTGAAATCCGGGTCAGGGACCCAACAGATGTACAGATGGCAAGCTCTTTTTCCCACTGTCACCCCCTCACCCAATAGCACATATCCCAATAGTCTACTTTGGGAGAGGAAACAGCTGTGAAAACTTTTCCACATCTATCCTGCAAACAGATGTTTGCTCCTCTGCCTGCTGTCAATTTAGCATAGAATCATAGAATCATAGATTAAGATTTAGAATTGGAAGGCATCTTAGAAGATCCAATCCCTTCATCTTAGAGGTAAGGAGACTGAGGCCCAGAGGAATAAAGTGGCAGAGACAAGATTCAAACCCAGAGTCTCTAACTCCAAATTCTTCACCTTTTTTGCTCAACCATTATTCCTTATTACAAGAGATTATTCAGTAGTGGTTGTGGGATATGTTGGGAAACCATTGTGGTATAGAAATAAAGGGAGTCAATAAAACAATAAATAGGAAAAAAAGAAAAGCAAGAAAGGGGGGGTCTCAGCCCTCCTCTTCCAAGGCAGCCAGACTGGTCATGGCTAGGGAAAAGTGGGGAGCTACACATCACTTCCCATCCCTGGGAGAAGTGACCTCACTAGGAATTTGCTCTCCTGGTCTCTAGCCACGACCTCTGCTCTGTTCTTAATCATACTGACTTTTGAACTGTTGTATGCTTTTACCTACTCATCTCAAAAGGAAGTGAGCCAGTGAAACAATAGTGTTGAAAGAGGCCAGGACCTTGAGTGTGGGGTGTGGAGTGAAGGGGGGCTGTGGAGAATGAGAGGGAACAGTTAAGGTACTAGTAGTTCGGGAGAGCAGACAAATCTGAGTCTCAGAAGAAGGATAACAATGCCTTAGGCTTTAAGTGGCACCAGCTTAGTCTCTCTAATATTTTGCTGTCTCTGAAACCCAACCTTGCCAAAATCCACCCCTACTCCCATCCCATGAGAGACATTCAAGCCCAGTTAGAGACAGGGTTGCTAACATTCTATTCCTTGTCCCCAAGTGTTTGCACATCCGTCCCAAGAAGGGATGGGGTCAGAAGTATGGGGGTATTTGTACCCTCTCTTCATTCCAACCCTACTCCAGAAGCTCTGTGTCCCGCTTAGTTCACACAGCATGTCCCGAATGCTGATTGACAGCAGACTAAAGAAGTGCCCCTGTGGACCTTGCCCATCAACTCCTCCCCACCTCCATTCCTCCCCCAGGGCTCCAGAACTCCAGGTCAGCAAAGCCCATGTTTCTGAGCAAAGTCTCAGCTTCTCTTGGACAGAGGTCTGGACATGGAATAGAACATGAGTCCCATCTATAGCTCCATTCTTCTCTTTCCCCATCTAAACCAACATTGGGAGGAGAAAAATTTGACCTCTCTCCAGGCTTCAGCTTCTTCCCTCCACAAATTGAGTTTATTGGGAGGAAGGCCCCTGATTACCTCTCCAAAGGGCCATGAGACTTTTGAAGGAGAAGTGTGAATGAAAAGGGGGTAACACCAAAAACAGCCATGCCGATATCCAACTTGAACCCTGAAGCTCTGGAGGTAGTGGAAAATGGTAGCCTTGTTGGTGAGTTTTTGTTTTTTTTTTTTGTAACCTTTTTTTTTTGGTTAGGCAATGAGGTTAAGTGACTTGCCCAGGGTCACACAGCTAGTAAATGTTTTGTGTCTGAGGCCAGATTTGAACTCAGGTCCTCCTGAATCCAAGGACGGTGCTCTATCCACTGCGCCACCTAGCTGCCCCGATGTTGGTGAGTTGTTGAGAGGAAAGAAATCAGATATTTGGGAGGGAGGGAGAAGGGTTTGGATTGTAAGGATCTAACCCAGGGTTTTCTGAGATGTGGACAAAAGTTCTATCTTTTGTATGAGTATGTGAGTGAGTATGTGGGGATGTGTGTATTGTGGGGTTGAGGGGAAGGATGGGGAAAAAGAGAAAAGAGGGCATCCTACAGTCCTTGTATAAATGAATTTTCTTCATTGCCCCAACCCACAAGGAAGAAAGGGCAGAAAGATGCTAGATCACTGATTGATGCCTAACCCAATCCCAGCTTCCCTCTGAGGTATACTAGTCCTGTCCCTCTCAATCCTAATTCTCTCTCCACCCTTGTTCTACACCCCACCACCCACATAGGCTTCCCCAGGCCCACACATCCTCTGGCTCTTCCCGGAAACACTGATAGAAAGGAAGAATGAGGGAGGTGAGAGGAGGTGCTAGTTTAGTGATACCACTAGCATCTAATCACTTAACAACCAGGAGAAAGACCCCTATCCTCAATCACCATTCCATTTCCCAGAAGAGAGAGATGGAGAACTACAGGAGTGGGAAAGGTTTATTGAAAGGTTTAAAGAAAGACCTTGACCAGAGTCCCCAGTAATAAAGCTCCCAAATCATATTCAAGTAAAAAGTTCCAGTACTGTGATTCCCATCTTATAAATGAAGTAACTGAGGTTCAGAGAGGTTAAGTAACTTGTCCAAGGTCATAGAACTAGTCATTGTCAGAGGCACACTCAGTTCCATCTCCAATTCTGGTGTTCTTTCCACTATATATCGCTGCCTGAGAACCGCAACTTTCCCGGAAAGACTATTGGGGAGGGTGTTGGAGAAGGTAAGGGCTACCTGCAAGTGAAAGGGGGAGTGAGACCTGTTTGCCTAAAGTTTTCTCTTCAGGAAAAACGTGTGCGGTGAGGAAAGAGTTGGGGAGATGGGGTCGGACAGGGGCCGACTCCGGGCACGCGATAATCTCCCTTCCGGGCCCCCCAGCTGTGTGGATACTGGCTTCTTATCAAATATTAACACCCTCCCCCTCAACCTGATAATTAAGAACCTTGCCTCGCTATTAATCTTTAAACGAAAATCACCCCGGCTGGAAAGACCGGCTGAGCCAGGACCTCTGAGTTCCTGGGACCGCACCTCCCCACCCACTCTCCTCGCTCCCCTCCCAGAGAAGCTAGCTGACTGGCACAGCAGGGAGCAGAGCTCAGCTGTCCTTCAGGAGACACCCCTCCCCCCGACAGGAGAGGCCCAGGTCAGTACCTGTACGGCCACATTGCCAGGGGCCCGCAAACCAACCGTGGAGGGTCCACCCTCCCCCTCCACGAGACCCATCTGCCACCTGATCACAGACCAACCTCGTATCCTAGAGACCCTGACGCACCCGGGGGTGTAGTGGCATCGAGACTCGACACGAACTCTGCCCGAATGGACAGATCCCGGGAGAAGCAAGGTTGCAGGGGTAACAAGCACAGACAGGGAGAGCTGCAAAGGCTCGACGGCTGGATCTTGGTCACTCCTCTGACTTTTCTCTGCGCGGGTCTGGTCTCACTGTTTTCTCTGCATCTCTCTGTCTCTGTCTGCCACTGTCTCTCTGTCTTTGCCTCTGCCAGCCTCTATTTCTGCCTGATTTTCCCACTGTCTCATTTTTTTGTGCCTGTCTCCATCTCTCTATCTCTTCTCTGTCTTTTTCTCTGCCTCCAACTTTGTTTCTGTCTACATCTTTTTTTCAATCTCTGTCTCTGTCTCTGTCTCTTCCCTCTGTCTCAAGCTTTGTTTTTTCTCAGTCTTTGTGTCTGTTATTTCTTTTTGTCTGTCATTTCTGTTTCCGTCTATTTCTCTTTATCTGTTCCAGTGTCTTTGTCTCTTTATATCCATTTCCAATTTTCTCTGTATCTCTCTCAGTATCTCTCTTCTCCAATATATCCTCTCTAGTATTTTTCTTTTCTGTCCCTATCCGTATATTGTTTTCTGTCTCAATTTTCTCTGCATATGACTATCTCGTCTCTTGAAGTTTTTTCCCTTTCTCTCTTCCTCTATCTCCACCTGTTGCTTTCTGTTTCTCTCTCTTTTATCTGACTGCCTATGTCTATCTGTGTCTTCTATCTCTCAGTATCTATCTATTTTCTATCTCTCTATATGTCTCCCTTTATCCCCACCTCTCCTGTGCTCCCCAGACAGTGGATTCTTCTTACCCACCTACCCAGCTGACGGGGCAAGGGGTTCTGTCCTCGGAATAGATCCGAAATGGAGGATGGGACCCCAGACTGGGGTAAGGGCTAAATCACCTGGGGCCACTGGCTGGGCCAACGTGAGGGCCAGCAGCATTAGGAACGAGATCATCTTCTGCTACTCAGCTGTCGGTTCGTTTGTCTGTCTGTCGGTTTGGCCGAGCGTCCGGCCAAGAATGAGCCGCGGTCTGTCCTGCGGTCATGTTTCTGTCCCAGGGTTTTTATAGAGGAACACCGAGCCTGGGCCGGATAGCCAGGAGAGCTGGACCCCGTAGTCAGGCTCCTCCCCCTCCTCTCTTCTTCCCTCCCCTCCCCACCCCTCCTGGAATCCTTCCTTTCCTTTCCTCGATTTTCTACCCCCTCCCCAGTTCTTCTCCCTCCTCTTCCTCCCTCATCCCTCCTGGAAGCCTTCCTTTCCTTTCCTTTCCTCGATTTTCTGTCCCCTCCCCCGTTCTTCTCCCTCCTCTTCCTCCCCCACCCCTCCCCCCAGCCTTCCTTTCCTTTCCTTTCCTCGATTTTCTGTCCCCTCCCCAGTTCTTCTCCCTCCTCTTCCTCCCCCTCCCCTCCCCTATATTCTCTTCCATCCTTCCCCATTTGTTCTCTCTCCCTGTCTCCCCTTCTCTTTCATTGCTCCCACTCTTTCTCCTCTTTCTCCCCTTTCCTCCCTTGCTCTTCTTCATTTCAGTCAGTCATCCAGTCAATAAACATTTATTAAGCGCTTACTAAGTTCCAGGCACTGTGCTAAGCGCAGGAATACAAAGAATGGCAAAAGAAAGCCGCTACCCTCTAGGAGCTCACCATCTTTTCCATCTCTTTCTTCTCCTTTCTCTCTCCTACACAAATTCTCGTTAATCCTTGCCTCCCCCAATCCCCACCTTGGTTTCTCTGATGGATGGCATGTTGGAGAGGCAGGGAGGGTCTGACTCGGGGTGCCCTGTCTTCTTCGGGGCAGAGGAGGGAGGAGGATGGAAAGGAGGTCTTAGGAACCGGTCCTGAAAGGCCATTTGATTTTCCCATAAATGAATTCCGAGTTGCTCAGCTCCTAGAAGGTCCGGGTATAATTGGAACTGGGAGCAAGGTATCCCGACGGGAAGGATACACATCTAGCCTACACAACCAGTAAATACTTAGTCCTTTATCAATTCCTTCCTCCTGGTCATTCTGTTCTGGTCTCTCCCGCTGGAAAGGAGGGGGTGGAGTGGAACTCATACTCACACTCAGGATCCTGGTCTCCAGAGCTACATAACAAAACCCCTTTTAAAGGGTCCCAGAATCTTGAGAATTTGACCGTTCCTCTTCATCCACCCCCCCTCGCCTCCATCCACTCTGATGCCATCTGCCTAGACTCTAGCGCTGACCATTAGGCTTCTAGCTCGCCTCGGAAGCGGACGAAGTCTACTCAGGCTTAAAAACTGCGAGGGTGGACCTGACGGCCCCTGGAATAAAGATCTTGCCCTTCTTCTTTCTCTCCCTCCTTCCCATTCTCACCGGAGAGATTTAGGGGTCAGGACTCGGTGTCTCCCCATCTCAGCCTTTGGAACTGTGTTCTAGGTGGGAAAGCAAACTGCCCTGAGGGACCTGTGGACTGGTCGGAGGGAAGGGGCACAGAATGGACTTCGGGGTGTAGGAGCTGGGTGTTTGTCCCTAAGCTTCGATCTCAATCTTTTTTGTCTCTCTTCTTCATTCTCTTTACCTGTCCTTGTCTCTGTCTCTGTTTCTGCTTCAATCTCTGTCTATCTCTGCCTGTTTCTATCCTAGCTTCTGTCTTTGGGTCTTTTTCTCGGTTTCTGACTCAGTGTCAGTCTGTATATCTTTTAAAAAAAATTTATTTATAGTTTTCAACATTCACTTTTATAAGATTTTGAGTTCTAATTTTTCCCCTGCCTTCCCCTCCCCCCCCCCCGCTAAGACGGCATGCAATCTGATGTGGATCATAGATATACAATCGTATTAAACATATTTCCACATTAGTCATGTTGTGAAAGAAGAATCAGAACAAAAAGGAAAAGCCACGAGAAAGAAAAAAAAAGAGAGCTAGAGAGAGAGAGAGAAAATAGTATGCTTCGATCTGCATTCAGACTCCACAGTTCTTTCTCTGCATGTGAATGGCATTTTCCATCAGGCATCTTTTAGAATTGTCTTAGATCATTGCATTGCTGAGAAGAGCTAAGTCTATCAAAGTTGGTCATTGAACAATGTTGCTGTTACTGTGTACAATGATCTCCTGGTTCTGCTTACTTCAGTTCATGTGAGTCTTTCCAGGTTTTTCTGAAATCCTCCTGCTCATCACTTCTTATGGGACAATAGCATTCTATGACATTCATATACCACAACTTGTTCAGCTGTTCCCCAGTTGGCGGGCATTCCCTCAATTTCCAATTCTTTGTCGCTACAAAAAGAGCTGCTATAAATATTTTTGTACATGTGGGTCCTTTTCCATTTTTTATGATCTCTTTGGGATACAGCCAGTCTGTATATCTTACTCTGTGTCTGAGTCTTTATCTGGCTGTCTGTCACTCAACTTTAACTTCTAGCCATCAGCAACAGCCTCAGATCTGAAGTTTTCCATTGGACAGATGATAAGGGCATTCCTTGAAAAACAGGCAAAGATGCCTTTCTTTCCACCATCTACGGCTTCCTAATTTCTGCTTGGGATATATGAGGTCAAGAATGTTGAGAACAAAGGACACTTCTGGGGCTAACGGGAGTCAGACCTTTCATCCCTAGCAGACCTTGTGAAAAGGGAAAATTTAAATGGGAGATCAGAAGCAGCTGGAGAAATCCTTGGGAGGTTTCTTCCCGCCTTCCTAATCTCTCCAAAGCCACCGTCCTCCAGGACCCCCCTAGGGCTCTCTCCCCATTTGGGGAAGGGAAGCTTGTGGAAAAGGAGAGGAGGCAGCTAGAGGTCTGGTGTCAAATTTTTTTTCCTCAAATCTCAAGAGACCCCATTTCCTGGATGCCAAATGCACACACTGAAATGATTTTGTGAGGAAAGGAGCCTCCAGCATCTGGAACCCTCTAGTGCTGGACAGAGACTGTACGTGCCAATTCTTTCTTCCCCTCCCCACCCCCAAAAATACTACTCACTTTTACTGGACCCAGGGTCTCCTTGTTTGGGAAAGGGAGGGGCAGGAAAGAGTGGGTAAGTCTGTGAGGAGAGAATCTGGCAGTCCAGACATACTTAGTACAATCCAGGGCCTTGCCAGATAAGCTTTGGACGATCTAACCCCACCACCTAACCCCTCGGGAGATACCCATTTGCTGACAGCCCTCTACAATCCTAGAATAGAAATCTTCCCCACCCCTCTCAAGCCTGAGAAGTGAGCTTCTTTGAACCATATGGGTAGGGTGGGGGAATCTGATTTACTGAATTGTTCCCCCCCCCACCCCCACCAATAACAATGCAGACTGGAACTCCAGGCGGGAGACGACTCCCTCCACAGACATAGACCTTTGTTCCAAGGATACTGATGACTCCTCCCCCACTCCACAAACACACAAACAACGAACTCACACTCATAAACAGCCCTTACATTCCAGTGACCTCTGGCCCAGGATCACACAGCTCTATGGAGTCGCTTTCATCCTTCCAGACGTGTTGAAGAGGGAGCATCTATACTAGTCCTCCCACCCCACCCCTGTAACACATCTCCCTCTTCACTTCTGGTTTCTTGCACCACACCAAGCCCAAAGCCACTGGGGTTATTTATGACCCTGTAACTAGACAGACTCAGAAATCCAAGAAAGTTGGCTTTGGAGGCAGAGCACCTGTATTCAGATTTTGGCTCTGCCATTCGCTATTTCTGTGATCTTGGGGAAATCACAACAACTCTATAAGCCTCAGTTTCCTCATCTGTAAGGTGAGGGGGATTGTGCTAAATGACATAAGGTTCCTTCCTACTCTAAATCTTCGATCTTATGTTTCTTTGTGTTCCTTTCCACCAAGAGGACCTTGGTGAGGGTGGGGGGAGGAAAGAGAAAGAGCAGAGGGAGGGGGTCTCAAAGCTAACCACTTCTGCTCTCTTCCCAATGAGCTTGCAAGGATGGTGCTCAGGGGAGGTTCAGCTGCTAAGCTGAGTGACAGCTGAAACACACCAGATGGAAGAGAAGCTACAGGCACGGCTTGAAGAGAAAGAAAACAGGAAGTTTCGAATCTTTAAGAATGCAATTTAGAACTCAAGCAGTTGCTGAACAAACTCCTTCAATAAGTTTCATGTTGCTGAAGAGGAAATTGTACATCTATGAGTATTCAAGTCTCTCTCATGAAAACAAGCCATTGCCTTTATCCAGTTATCAAACCAACAAGGCCAAGAGTGACAAACTGGTCTATTTTTAATGCACCAGTGGCCCTTTGTTCTTTTATATGGGTACATTGTATCCACCATATGGGTGGGTATTAAAATTTGGGACAATAAAAGAAATCTGATCTTGAATAAGTAGCTTCCTATCCTCTTTCTCTGATATATGTCCACAGATTATCTCATTGTTCATCAGTGATCTTCAAGTGCTGTTCCCTGAACTTATGTAGAAATACAGCTGAACCTTCTCTGAGTCTCAGTTTCCTGCAGTTCAGTCTTTCCCTTTGTAAAGGATTCATAACATTCCTGAGAAGAACACGCTGGAGAACTCATCTTTACCTTTTGGTCGGTGGTCAGGAGGTGCAGTTCATAGATTTGGAGATGATCTAGTTAACCCCTCCATTTTCATAGCAGGAAGCTGAAGCCTGGAGAAATTAAGCCACTTGTTTAACTTCCTACAGATAGTAAGCAGCGGCACTAGATTGATCTGGTTCTAAATTCAGTGCTCTTCCCACATTGACTCTTCCCATCAGGTAGCTGTGTGCTGATGAGTTAATCCAGCGGGTGGGCACCCTGCAGGGACCTGGATATCTTTCAGTATTAATTACATCCACACTTAATTGGTTTCTTTTTAGTCACCAACATTGACCTTTTCATGTGTAACAGAGTTGTCATGTGTGAACCACCACTTCACCATCTCTTTCCTGCTGAGATGGCATGATAGGACTTTCTATCTTTCTCTCTACTCACAACATGGAGTAGGTCCAGGTTTCTCCCCTTCTCCTGCACCACGGATTGTTGTTATTGTTGTTTTTTAATTCTATCCAACTTATTGTGACCCCCATTTGGGGTTTTCTTGGCAAAGATACTG